AGCTACACCCAGGCATATAATAATCAAAATTCCAGAAATCCAATATAAGAACAGAATATTAAAAGCCGTCAGAAACAAAAAACAGATCACTTACAAGGGAACACCCATCAGAATTACAGGAGACTTCTCGGCACAAACCATCAAATCATGAAGAGCGTGGGGGGAAATAATTCAAGCTTTGAAAGATAGTAACCTCCAGCTAAAATTGATATATCCTGCACAACTGTCCCTAGAAATTGATGGAAAAACAAGGTGCTTCTAGGATAAAGAGGAACTAGGGGAATTTGCAACCACCAATTCAACTTTACAGAGAATACTGCAGGATATTCTAAAAAAGGAAAATATCGATTCCAGAAATAGTGGCAAAGAGGCCACAATGAATGGAGCAGAAAGCGAAATGAAGAAGACAAACTGAAAACAAACGACAGAAAAAGAGCTCAACAGAAATGAGGCAGAGAAGATCGGATGGTAGGAACAGCTATTTTGGAGAAAACAAGACATCATAATAGCTAGTGCTGATTTAGTATCATTTTGTTTTGAAGTCCCATCAAATTTGTATTCTTCTGTCTCCATCGGTCTTAAAAGGTTGTATCTTATTGGATTTTATTATATATGATAATATAAGTAAAAACTTTTATAGGCAAGGACATTATTCAGAAATCATTGTTCATTTTCTGTTAGTTGGTTCTAAATACCCTATAATAATGTCATTCTCTTGAATGTTTTTATAGTGTCTTAATATGTTTGGTGCTACAGTATACGAAGTTATACTCAAAGATTTCAAGGAAAGAGACACTATGGTAACTATTTTTATGTCAGGATATCTTGTGCTGCAACACTATTTTGCTTAAATGGTTATGTTTGGGCCTGCGCTGTTCTGTTGTTACGCCCTCTTTTATCTCAATCCCCATTTTTTTAATTATTTACTTTTTTCTTTTTATCTTTTTAGTTACGGGAAAAATAAATAAAAAATAGCAGGATATAGTATTATAGTATAGTAACCTACTTTGATTTCCTATTAACTTGATTTGAAATCCTGTATTGCCCTCACCATCTTGTTTTGACTGATTTTCCCCTATTCTGCTTTGCTTGATAGTACCAAGTTCGAAAGTATAGGCAAAACTGTGAAGACAATAAGATTCATTATGACGCCCATTCTGGTTGACTATCATCTTCTTTTAAAGTCCTGTAATGTCTCCAATGCTTTGGTTTTATTCTTTACTGTTTTGTTCAATTTTATTATAACTGGTAATTCTTCTTAAAACAGAAAGAGGCAGTATGGTAACATTGTTATCACCTTGTATTTTGTTTTTACATTATCTACAATGTCCATCCTTTTGATTTGACTGACTCTGTTCTGATATGTCGCATAAGTAATAACTGTGGGAGTAATAAAACCCAAAATGTGTAATTGTCATTGTACAAAAGAAAAGTACTCTAAAGGTTATAACTGCATATATGTTTAAGTGTATAAGATAGATAACCATTATTACTAAGTTTTTTTGGACATTGAACAAAACTGTTTGCACTCCCACTGTCTGAGAGTGCTTCAATTTTGTAACGAACAACTGTTTCTAAGATGAGAATATGTAATCTATTAACTAGTGATTTCTTACTGTTTATTTTTTAAATTTTGTATTACTTGTACCCTTTTTCTGTTTTTTTTTTTTTTTTTCCTCCTTAAGTTAAAAAGAAAAAAAAAAAAAAAAGAATTCTCAAGGTACAAAGTTGAAAACTACTGCCCAGCCAGGAATGGTAGTGTTTGCCTGTTATCCCACTACCTAGGAGGCTGGCTGAGAGGCAGGGTATCACAAGTTTGAGACCAGTCTGAGCAACTTAGCAAGAACTTACCTCAAAATTTTAAGAAGTAAATTAAAAGGGCTGGGGATGTAGCTCAGTGTTCCCTGGGTTTAATATCCAGTCGGGGAGGGTGTGTCTATTTCAAACTTTGGGATTTATAAAAGCAATATGAAGGTTGGGGACATAATTGATGGTAAATGGTTGCCTAGCATGTATGCTTGAGGTCCGGGTTTGATCCCTAGCACCACAAAGAAGGGGGCAGAGAATAGAAAGATTACTGAACTGCAAAAAAATCTTCCGTTTAAAATGTAAATAGCAAGATACAGCTGAAAGATATTGGTTATCGCCAATTTTAAACTGATTAAGACATAACAGATTCTCTTTATTTAAATCTCTGTTGCTATCTAATGGAGTTACTGAAGACAAATTATATGAACCTTGTAGATAAGTCCACTCGTTATCTTAGTGGTACATTTGCAAAAACTACCCTAGTTTTCATTTTTTCTCATGTTTAAAAATTCCTTAGATGCCAATTATAGCATGTAATAATACCAAAGTGATACAACTTAAAATATCTTGTTGAGAAACTGGATTTCGGCCAAATTTCCCATCACCGAAATTACACATTTTAAAATGACAAAAAATCCACAAATTCTATATGTGACTCATATATTTGAAACACGATGCACACAGTATCATACTGAACGCAGCTCAAATGATACCTATGTATTTGTCAATGGTTTGAATGTCTGATTTTAAATAACTGAGTCTTCAGCAATGCTTGGGCAAAATGCCTCAAATTTGTTAAACCTGTACTGGACACTAGTTTATGCTGGTATAACTCCTTCAACTTTCATTTAGAATAGAAAACAATCGATCCCCGGTACCGATAAAAAGGAAAAAGACAGAAAACAATAAAATCAATAAAACTTTTAGTTTTACACATCATTACAAATCACCTCAAAATCACCATTCCTCATAGTTTTTTTTTTTTCTTTTTTGCTACCAAGGATCAAACTCATAACCTGGTGCTTGCCAGGCAGGCACTTGTGCCACTGAGTAATATTCTTCAAAGGTTTAAGGAAAAAACTCTGCCTAACTACAAAATCTTTTGGGGGGAAAAAGCAAATCTAAACATGTACAATGAGCACTGAAATGGCTAATTTAAGATGCTTCAAGGTCCACTGACTCTAAAAATCATACAACGAAAAAAAAAATGCTAAGCATGAACTAGAGACCGAATACAACTAAGTCTAAATATCAGAAAAATAATGTACTAGGCAAAAATTTAGCCAATACTAAATATGTATTTTAAATGTAACAAACCCTGCAGATTCCATAGGGTTAACTGCTCCACTAGAGGCCCCAGCAATTTACAGTTCAATTAGCATAGTATCTAATATGTTACTATAACACTGGCTCCATCAGGGAAAAAAAAAAGTGTTACCAAGTGAGACAGCTTGAGTATGACTGGACTAAATAAATTATTTTAATGCTTGCTCCTTAATTGGGAGAGCAGGTGGAGAAAAAGAATTCACACATACAGAAAAATAGCTCAACTAAAATATAACTGAAGTGAAGCATTAGTTTTTCAAAAATAAAATGTACTGCATCCTAGTGTTAACTACTGCTTCAGCAGCAAAGCCATCATTGGTCGATGGTCCATGCCAAACTTATTCCCAAATATTTTCACAGTGACTTTCTCAGTACACATTTTCATTAATTCTAAAACAGACTGACATTTCTTCCCTGTTTAAGATTTACATTGAAAATATTCAGTTAAAAAATAGGTATCCCGCTTCAAAAATAAAAATTAAGATGCAAGTAACACTTTAAAATCAAATTCACCCATAAACCTAGAAAGCAAAGAAAAAGTCACTTCTATTAATAGGATCACATAATATTATGTCAGTCTTTTCTAGAAAGGCTTTTAGTTTTAATTCTAATAACTTAAATGTACATAGCGCACTTTTAAACCAAAAACTACTCCAAATCATGCCTTTTGGGCCTGTCTCTATTACATTAGTTCTGTGACAAACCATTTGAGAAAACAAAATTATGACAGAATTACAGAAAAAAAGAAAACACATTTAAAAATGTTAACTATATTAACCATTTACACTTTAGAATACCATGCGCTAGTCATATCAGAAATTTCAGATATAGAACAAATAAGTCCTTAGTACTTAGCTACATTTCAACTCGAGTATATTTAGCCTTGGTACCACAAGGCAAAGGTAACTTATCAAATCTACAATAAAAATTATTTTAATGTAGTCTAAACCCTAATTACTTTGAGAAACTATACATTTCTGTATTGTCAATCAAAACATGATTTTGCCAGCAAAAAGCATTAACCGAATAAAGGTGCTGAGACGAAAACGATGCTAAATCTAGCAAAAGTCCAAAGATTTTTAAACCTTTCAAATTAAACACACCTATGTCTTTGAAAATCTAGCTTAAGAAATCCTAACAGCATTTTATTGCATGTGGTGAAGCCAACGCCCTCCACCCTACAACAATTTCACGCACCGTACTTGTTGTAGCCCTGACAATAAGATAAACTACGTCTTTTATTAGGATACACCTTTTACTAGGGAAAGGAGATGCAGTTAGGTGATTAGAATGTTTCCTGCATGGTGCCATCACTCACAACACCCAAAAAGTAAACAACTCAAAGCTAGAAACACAAAGTGGAAGGACACAATAAGAAAGTAAAGGACAAAGAAAAAATAAGTATCCGTCTGCGGAAAGAAATTAGACAAACCATTTATTTACTACTTTCGTTTGGACCTAAAGGCAACAAACACTCTAGTAGTCTCGACGCGCTCTGCCCGGGCGACAGAGAAACTACTCAGGAACAACAAAGCGGAGCGGTGACTGAGGCAGAAGTCGCAGTCCAAGTTCAACTGGATTGTCCGACAAACTGCGAGCGAAGTTCGGGGCTGCAGGGTCGACCCAGCAATCCGAGTGGGCTCGGGCGCGGCGGCACGCCCAGCCCGCCTTGACCAGCGCGGTGGCCCCCCGCCCGCTCGAGCGCCGGGCCTGGCCCTCCAGGCTGCGGTGCTCGCATGCTAGGCGGACCCGCCGGCCTCCCGTGCGCTGCCTGCCGGCCGCTTGGAGTCACCCCCGGAGCGGGGAAGCCGCGGGCGGGGCGCGCGGGCCCGGCGGGGGAAGAGGAGGGGACATGGCGCGGTTACCTGGGCTCCGGCGCCGGCGAACGGAGTCCGCTCTCCCGACGCTGCTCGGCCGTGGACGCGTCGCGCCCGTGGCTTCCTCACGCGGCCCGGTGCGCAACTCGGCCCCCTCCCCGAGGCGTCCGAGCCAGGCCGCCCCTCCTCGGCCACACCGCTGCCCGCGCGGGCCCGGCCGCCTCGAGCTCCCGGGCCGCCCCGCGGCGGGGAACCTCTCGTGCTAGGCGCCCGGCTCTTCTCGCCCACTCCAGGGCCCTGGGCGATCGCAGAAACAAGCGGAGAATAAGAAGGGCCTCCCAAAAAAAGAGGACTAGCACGAACGCTGGCTCCGCCACCCGAGCTGCTCCGTTACCGCAGAGGCGACGACGACCAGGGCCGTGTTGTTGCTGCCAACTTGTCGAGAAGACACTGAGCATGCGCGCGCGGAGACCACATCCGGGTAATTTCAGGGTTTGGCCTACCCCCCCCCCTCCCCTAGCAGCTCTCCTTTCTCCCGGGTGCCCCCGCCTCCCACCCCAGGAGACTGGAGGATGGCTCTGCGCAGGCGCCCGCGCGGAAACACTGGTAGATGCTCTGCGGGGATCCTCGGCCAGGGCCTAGCGTAGCACTTCGCGCGGCGCTGTGTCTTTGAGCAGAGGTTGCTCCCCGGGAGTGGTCTTCACTGAGAAACGCATTCTTTCGCAAGAGTTCTGAGGCAGCGCAGGAGAATTCGGTGTCCAGTAAGTAGTTACGATGAGCGTCCAACCAAACCTTTTTAATTTTTGTTTTGTTTTGTTTTGAGGACTTGCGTGGACTCTAGGGTTTATTATTAACAGGCAAACACTAACTCCGGTTGGTTGTCCAGCGGCTTACTTTGGGAAGAAACTGGCTGCACCTTCCTTTCCTTCCCTCCAGCGCCAAATCGCGAACTTCAGAAGTGTTTAAACTCCAGAAACGCACTGAACAGTCAAGGAATCACATTCACAAGCCTTGCCAGATGTCAGAAAATGTGAAAGGTTCGTGTTGCAAGAGACTTAGGCAGAATATTCCAGTTGGAAGCAACCGCCGAGATCTGTCATTCTCCTGTTAAGTAGGTTGCTCCTTGGGTGGCGAAAGACCTAAACTCTGCTTTCGGTTCATACTAACTTTATAGGATGAGTGCATTTCTTTCTGGTTGAACTTGTACCTCAGCGATAGAGCAGAAGGCCCTGAGCTGCATTCCCCAGCAACGCAAAATAATAATAATAACCCAGAAAACATATCAATTATATGAATGGTTTTTTACCAACCAAAGAAACACTTTGTTGTGGGTTCTCAAAGAGTAATTATTAGACAGCTCGGAGTCATTTCTTATGTTTTTCCCAAAAACAATACACTTGCCTACCATTCACGCAGTGTCCAGTTCTGTCCTCCTTGCCATCATATCCTGGGCTTTTTCTACTAGAAAGTCCCTAAAATTGTTGTCTTCAAACTGGTGTATCCTTACCTCTGGGATTAATGAGGATTTAACAAGACTAGTGTTAAGGGAATTCATTTCCAGATCTTTTCAATGTGTACTATTTTCTAAAATTTCCCAGCTTGAGGCTAAAGATGAGTGTACTCATCTTTACTATGTATAGCAGCTCCTTACAAGATCATCCTCACATCATACAAAACAAAGTCAAAATTGCCACTCATTACTAAGGTGACCCAAGATGTCAGAACCTCCTGGGCAATCCAAAAGCACAACTCAAAAATAGGTGTCTGTGTTGAGAAAGTAAATGACCTTAATGAGTGGGTATTACAGTCTTTTGCAAATGAAGTGGTTTCCAATCCTTCACTGTCAACAGAATTAAAAGATCTGTCAGCTGGTATATCATTAAAATGACTTGGTAATAGACAAATATGTGATTCTGCAATATTATACATCAGAAGTTTTAAACATTGAGCAACATTACTGACACTAAACTCCTTCCATTCCATCTGTATTCATTATGTATTACTATATAACAATAGTCCCAGAAAACTAGACACTCAAAACCGAACATATGTATTAGCTTACTGTTTCTGTGGGATTCAGGCATGACTTTCCCAGGCCCTCTGCAAAATAATGCTCTACTAGGACAGAGGATCCATTTTGAAGGTTGCATAGTTGTTGGTAGTGTTCAGTATGTTATTCTCTGTTGCCTGTAGGCTCCTCAGTTCCTTACCATGTGATCTCCTCCCTAGGAAAGCTCACAGTATGCAGCTTGCTTCTTCAAAGCCAGCAAAAGAGAATCTCATCAAGACAATGCATTTGGCTGGGGATTTAGCTCAGCAGCACAAGCGCCTGCCTTGCAAGCAGGCAGTCGTGAGTTCAATCCCCAGTACCGATAAAAAGGAAAAAGACAAAAAAAAAAAAAAAAAAAAGACAATGCATTTGTTTGTTTGTCTAAGAAATAGCATTGCTGTGTTGCCCACCCTGGCCCTGAACTCCTGAGCTCAAATGATCTTCCTACTTTCAGGGTCATGAGTAGTTGGGACTACAGGTACGTGCCACCATGCCTGGCTTGGTTACAATTTTATATAACATAATCATAAACCCTAATAAATCACAGATCTCATCTTCACTTAAAAGGAAGGGATCACAAAAGGGTTTGAACACCGAGGCTGGCAATCATTATAGTTTGTCTACCACACCATCTATTTATTTATTCTCTATAAGCTCAGCCTCTTCTCTGAATTTCCCTTCAGGTTTCCTTCACCTTTTTGCTTAAGGGAAACCCGACTTTACCCTGGGACACTGCTTCCCCTTCCACCTCCCAAACAGTGGCATCTGTATTTTCAACTTAAGAGAAAATACCCTAGAGGTATGACATATGTCCTCTCTCCTCAACAATGCTTCCAGACTGTCTGCCTCCTCCTCCTTACAAACCAGCAACTTTATTCCTGTCTAGTACTACCATCATTATTCTCCTTCCCTTTCCTTTTTTCACCGTCTGCTCCTGTCAGTCACTCCAATGCCACTTTTGTCTTAATCCCATAGTAGTTATTTATACGCTTAGATGATCTTTCCGGTACCCTGACCCCTCAATTCCTTAATTTCTCCTCCACCAAAGATCTTGTCCTCCATCCTAACTTAGTTACTCACTCCACTGAGATCATGAGAGCCTTATCAAACTGCAGCTTCTTCACAGTCACAATTTCAAGCACCTTCCACTGTGATCACCACCTCCTATTTCCGGGTCATTTTCTGCAGCACTCTAATGGCAACAACTCTTTAACCCTTGCCTCTGCTTTTTCCCATCCTTATTAGTTTAAACCCCTACCCAGTCATAGTCACTCTTGCACATACTCAGAGCCCCCTATTCTTTTTCCTTTTTCTTGCTTGCTTGGCAAAACCACAGTCCTAATTCAAGTCAGCTCTCCACCTACTCCATACCACCACTAATGCTAGAATAAAGACATAAGGCATACTGATTAATTTCACTTTAATTTCCTCACTTTCAAATTGACCTTTAGTGTTAAACGTCCCTACTTTCCCCCTGCATTCTTTTTAGATTTCATACTTTTTCTGTCTATAACCTATATGTTCTCCCCTCCATCCTCATTCTCATGAGTACATATACTTTGGCTCTTACTGAGGATATTGAAGCAATGAGACAAAAACTTGCACAGAATCCAACCATCACATCTACCCATCCCCAAGCTTTCTCTTCCCCTTCATTGCGTATTTGAATTTCCATGCTCCTAGGTAGAGCTAGTCCCTCTGTTAAGTCAACGGATCCCAGTCCCCTCTTGGCTAATCAAGGTCATGACTGTTACCGCAGCAGTTATTTCTTCTTCCACAGCACTGACACTTCCCTCTGTTGATTCATTTTCATAAACTTTGAAGCACCAGTTATTCCTTCATTGCACAGCTTCTTCTCATGGATCCATTTCCACAGTCTACTACCCATGTCTTTGCTTCCTTTGCAATAAAACTTCCAGAGTTTTCTGTTCTGTACTTTGTCCCTAGTTCTTCTCCCCATACTCTGCAGCAGCATACATACAATATGATGCCATTTTTATAAAGGTCAAAAACATGTCAAACACTATTTGTGTGTGAAGACTACACATATATAGAGTATAATCAGTGCATACGAGGTTACACATATAGCAGGTTATCAGCTGAAGTTGTAGGTTTCCCACCGTCTCCTCACTTCACTCCATCGTGATTTCATCCTTCCATTCTATCAAAATGCATCATATCACAGTCAATAATGATCTTCAAATTGGCTAAATCCAATGATCTAGTACACTGATGGCAAACTTTTTAGAGCTTTCAATGATATAAACACCCTGCTGTGGCACACATGCTATAGGTTCGTCACCACTGATCTAGTCTTTCTGCTTATCTTGATTGACTTGTCTATAACAGCTGACACAACTAATCACTTGATTCACTTTCCCCGTCCTTGGTTTCCCTCCCTGCTCCTTCCTTCTCTGTCTTATTTGTTCATTGTCTCCGTGTCTCAAACCTTGCAGTGAGTGAGTGGCCCAGGAGTTTTTATGCATATTCATTTCCTTTGTGATCTCATCTCATTCCTTTCAGTACCATTTAACATATATGCTATCTGATCTCATTTCAGTACCATCTAAAATATATATCATAATATATGGTGACAACTCCCAAACTTATATCTCCCACTCAGACTTTTTACCTGAACTCCAGATTTTAATATCCATCAGTGTACAGTATATTTTAAACCTAACATGTCACCAACTAAACAATAGTCTGTCTCAAACCTAACCCACTAGCTTTCCTATCTCAGTTGATGACTACTCCATCCTTCAAGACGCTTGGACCAAAACCCCTTGAGTCATGCTGGCTTTCGTTCTTTCTCTTACACCCCGTATTTCTTCCCAAGTCAGATCATCTTTTACCAGCTCCCTGCTACCCAGATGGTGAGCTGCCATCATCTCATGTTTGGATCACTCTTTTCAGAGCTCTCCTGTTCTTGTGCTAGCCCTTTCTCAACATATTAGCTAGAGCAGTGATGGAGAACCTTTCAGCGGTTTCAGTGATAATGAACACCCCACTGATGGCATGCGTGCCATAAATTTGCCACCACTAGAGTGACCCGCTTAAAACATAAGTCATCTCTGTATTAAGTGGTCCTTGTTCCATTCAGTGTAGTCCACATCCTTACAATAGCCAACAGGTTTCTATGTGGCTGGCACTTCCACCTCACTGCCTATCATCCCCTCTCTAATCTCACCTTTACTTTACCTCCTGTCACTCTGCTTTAGCCTTCCTTGCCTCCTTTTTTAACCCTAGAAGATGTTAATCCTGTTTCCATGCTAAAACTCCTGCATAGGCTGTGCCCTCTGCATGGTGCACATCTTCCCCAGAGACCCTCGTTGGGAACTCATTACTCCTTTTGAAAAGTCACTGTCTTCCTGAGGCCCAGTAGGACCTTTTAAAAATCAGAACTTTTCTTTGTGTGTGTGAGATCACCAAAGGAAATTGTACGTTATTTATTATGAGTATCACAATCACTATTTTGTTGGCAATGCTAATAGTATTTTTGTTACAGTTATTAAGTTCTTTCAATTTTGGAGGAAACCAAATGGAGCATGTATTACTTGGAAACTTCTATATCTCTCTGCCACTTTTTCATGGAAGGGCAAACTTTTGGAAATAACCTAAAAAGAGCAATCAAGAGAAACACACTTACAGTATGATAGGAAGCACATAGGTAAGTAGCCTGCTTAACAGCTCTCAATCAGGAGTCACCAAGTCCTGCTGATTGCCCAACACCTACTCAGTTTCCTCTTAGATTGAAACCAGAAAGCAATCTAAAGATGCCCAAGATGTTTTTGTTATCTAAACACATTCCCATTTCAGGAAAGAGGATGGCTAACATCAATTTACTGAAGGATCTGATTAATTGTTAAAGTAAATACAGTACTTACACTGAGAATACAGTTAGTAGCTTTCTTCATATTATCCCATTTTTAAAAAACTCACAGAGGTTTCATTCATGTTTTAAGTAGTTGATTTGGAAAAGAGCCT